ATATGAGCTGGAAAACTCTTTTTGTAACAGGACAGGATGAGATAGACTTGGGCTCTAAGGCATGATTGGAGCAGAGGTGGAGCAGGTGTGAAATACTACCGCTTTACCCTGTGATTGGGTAAATGACGTGGAGCCTTTTTTTTTTTTGTCAGGATCTATTTATTCATAAAATTACTTCAACACATCTCTACTATGATGAACATGTTCTCATTTCTGAATTAACATTTCTTTTTATGTATCTACAGAACAAATGTTTGGAGTCGGTAGGATTTTTTAAATAGTTTAAAAATGTGTTTTATTCATATGATCAAAAATGCAGTAATATTGAGAAATATTATTACAAATGAAAATAACTGTTTCTAAATAAATAAAAAAAAAGTAATTAATTCCTGTGATGGTAAAGCTTTTCAGCAGCTATTTCTCCAATCTTAGTGTCACATGATTCTGCAGAAATAATTTTAATGCTCAACATTTCTTATTATTATCATTGCTGAAAACCATTTGCAACTATTGAATGCAGCTTAATATTTTTGTGCAAACCATACTATTTTTTTCAGGATTCTTTGATGAATAGAATATCAAAAAGAACATTTGAAATAGAAATATTCTGTAACATTATAAATGTATTTATTGTCACTTTTGATTAATTTAATTCATCCTTCATGATTCATCCTTGCTAATTAAAAATATAAATTTCTTTAGAAAAGCCAAGACGTTATTTTTATTGTAAAAAAATGTTATGGTGATACAACTGTCCTGATATTATAAAATAACAAAAGCCTAATTAATAATTAATTAATAGTTATTTATAATTATTATTATTTCTTTAAAAAATTAATTCATGTAAAAACAAGTCAAAGTGCTACAGAAAAAACACATAAAACAGGAAATGATATCTTAGATAGGACCTCTGCAAAATAAATCAAATAAATCTCTTAGAATATCAGATAATTTGAACTTTTTATGACAAAGTTAGTTCAGGATGTAAAATATGGAGTATAAAATATTTCTTACATTACATAAAAATATTTTCATTAATATGAACAGTCACAAATAAGAGAAAAACAAAATACATTATAATCTGAAGGTTACCCCACATGAGATTTTTACCTTTCTTGAAAATGTTTTTATCAAAACCATACAAAAACAAAATGAATTCAAAGAGTACATTTCTATGATATTTTCTTTTCTTTAAGGTGGCCACTCCTATTTGTCATTGACCCGATTGTGTAGGATTCATTGCGCTCTATTTCTTCTGTGCAACCACATTCTTATTCATCGCCTGTGGGAGCACCAGCAAAGGACAAAGTGCAATGCTTATTAACGTACAGCATGTGCTCATACTTGCTATCTCTCCTCGATTGAGCTGCAACCAATTAGAGCTGATGGTCTACAGTAGCTGTTGTATACGTGGGAGCTGTCCACTCAGCAGCGGTGCTGAATGGAGGCTGCCGCTGTCCGTGGTTCTGAGGATTATCAGTTGCCAGTACCGGCTAAAATGGCCATTGACAATCACTCCAAAAACTCATCCCTTCCATCATCCATCACATACTTGCCCTTGGCGCATCACTACTCCTCAAGTCCTCATTCCCCCCCAAGCCTCTTCCATCTTCCTCTCTCTTTACATCAAGTCCCTCTCATCCATTCTCAGACACCACTTGTCAGTGAGATGTGCAATGTGGTCAGATGAGTGTGTGGAAGTGTGTGTGAGGCCCACAGGCCATCTATCCCTCCCTTGAGAGATCAGAGCAGGTGCCAGATGCCTGGAGCTCATAAAAAGAACATCTTGCTTTTCAGCTCACCTTCAGCTCCTCGGTGCCCACACACAGGGCCGTCCTTAGCTCCGGTCCGTTCGCGATCGCATTTCGGGTGGGGGGGAGGGGAGGGTGGGGGGTGGCCTGGTTTTGCTGAAATGTCTCTATTGCAGTGTTACCCAAAGAATTACATCCTGATCCTGTATTCCCTCGACTATATCCTGGTGCTTTGTCTCTCTAAACACACCTCCAATAGATTGAGGGTAACAAGGGAATCAGGAGAGATGCTGATGCTGTATTATCTCACCGGGTTTATCTTCCTAAAATTGCTCAAGTGCAGCTCTCAGAATAAAGCTTCATAAAGATCTCTCTAGCAATTTAAAAGTCCAGAGATTTCAGAACATAGTTTAAATTCTTTATATTTTTATATTTAATGGTAGTTAGTTCATTCTAATACAATTTTTTAATTAAACTGAAGATTTTCGAAATGTCATTTAATCACACTTCATTTCATCACAAAATTCACAGTATAAAACGCTGCAACTTTCTTCTAATTACTGTACGGAAAAGCATATTTCCTCATAAACACCTCATACACAGCGTGTTGATCACAACCCTTAACCAAAAACACAAGCCTTTTGTGTGATATTAAACCCAAGCTATAGCACACAGCTTGAGTTTCACGTCACAATAAAAAAACTCCAAAAACGAAATAAAAAATGAGTTAGAAACATGATACTACTGTATATAAGATCTTTAAAAAACGCTGTAAGAAAGAAACATTCCCTAAAATTGTTTCAGCCTTCTTAAGAAAATCTGACAAGACCTCTGTGAATTGTAGATGAACAGTGATAAATTCTCAAAATATTAAGAGGTATGGAATGAATAGAGGTGTCAAAGATAAGTACAAAAATATGTTTAGTTTAAACTAATTAACAGCATTGCAGGCTTGAAAGCTACTGGATATATATGGAAATACAATTATATATTGGCCAAAACAAACAAACAAATAAAAAAATCTGGTGCAAGTTTTCCATAACAGGAAAATTCTTGGTTTAAATTTTCAGAGTTTGAACTGTTTTAAATAATTAAATGTTCCGAATGGAATGGAAAGAATGGAACAGGACTAAAGAACATTTTTATTCAGATTCTGACAGGAGTTGAACATTACTTGGTGGTAAGCACTCAAACTATTTCAAAGACAGCTCTAAAACCCTTTTCACAATTGTGTCTGGTTTGGGTGAAGTTGTACATGGACTTAAAAGGGAATGGGTAACATTAAGACTTTAGCACAAACTGTGCTTGTACTTTCTAGCTTGTCCAAAATTTTAACTCAGACTTTACAAGAAAAGTGAAGAAAAATCCAGCTGGCAGAGAGTGGCTCAAGGTCTCAGTTCAGACAGCTTTAGGAGCCCTGGTTTGGCAGAACTACTCTCTAAAGCGAGAGGCTGTATAGAGCTGTTGCTCTGGAAGAGACAAACTCCACTCAGGGAAACAGTGTCTGTTTGAGATACATGTTATTCAGAAGCAGCTCCCTCATGTGAGCAGGACTGCAGTGACTAGTCTTTAGTGGGAGGGATATCAGGTTTGCAGGAGCTAGCAGGTGGAAGTGAGCCGGCCAGGAAAGGAGTTAGTAGGCAGGCTGAGTGGGAGCTCTCCATGGTAGTGATGGTTTCCAGCAATTTCACAACACATAACCATGGTCTGAAGGTCTGCTTTACAAACTCATAAAGGAGCATCAAATCCCATTACAGGCTACCCCAGGTGGAACAGCTTGAGGTAAGTTCTCTTTTAAAGCACATTGCTGCTATGATCCGTGGTTGATAAAACATATTATTTGGATGTCATTTTGTTAATTTGTACTTTTAAATTTTAATGGTGCAAGTATATACATGCAATATTATATATATATGATGAATAGTGGGGGTGAAACCTTATTAGGAAGTACATTGTTTTTTTCTAATACACATTGGCCACAATTGTTAGCACCCCTAGAAATTCTTCTGAATAAAATATAACTGAAGTATTTTCCCATTCACATTTACACTTTGAAATTGTCCAGACTCCAGCCATGACGTCCTGTTGTAATTGTGAAGACCAATACCCTTAATCATTCATCACGATGAGAAAAAACCAAAGAATATAGTTCTGATGTGCAGCAAAAGACTGCTGAGTTCCACAAAACAGAAAGTGGCTGTAAGAAAAGAGCTAAAGCATTGGAATTCCCATTTACACAATCAGGGCAATAATTAAGATGTTCCAATCATCTGGAGATGCTAGGAATCTGCCTGGAAGTGGACGTGAGTCTATATCATCCTAATGCACAGCGAGGAGGATAGTCTGAGTGGCCAAAGACTCTCTAAAAATCACAGTTGGAAAATTGATTTATTGTCTTTCAAATTAATTAGTACACTTCCAAAACAACTCCTTTTTCTAATCTCAAAGTTCAAATTGAAACGAGACATTCTGCACTAGTTTCTGCACTTAATGCTTGTCCCTTTAAAAGAGCTAATTGATTGTTTTTAGGAAGTCTATTGTCTGTAGCCTGGTTCAGTTTAAAGAGAAAAAAAAGAGTTTTGTTGTGCAAAACACTGCAATTTGTTGGTGACAAGCAAGTGACTCCAGGGGTGTATTCCAGAAAGTGGGTTTTGTTGGAAACTCAGAGTTTGTTGAACCTCCTTTCTGGAATACACCCCAGGTCTGTCAAGGTCTGTCAAGGTCTGGGCTCAAATACATGCTGAGGATAGAGGGGGCTTAAAATCCTGAGAGTTACTGAGATCACAACCACAATCTGTTTGCATGCTGAGTGAAAAATACTGCTCAAGGGGGGGATTTGTGTTGCGCTAGAAAAGAAAAAAAAAGTTTTTGATAAATGTCAGTTCACCATAACCCATTGGAACAATATATTAAGATACAAATGCCCGGCATCATTTCCCAGTTTCCAGTGACTGCTAGATCAAGGCAGGTTTTAGATGAGAGATCATGTATAGCTTGAAGCTAGGAGCTCTCGTGTATCGGGAAAAAATTATTACGTGCAATAGGAGGTAGGAAGAGAAAAATGGAGTGAGGGACTAAGAGAAAGCGACAGAGAGAAAGTGTGTGAGAGAGAAAGAGATGGAATGGGAGAGTGAAGCGAGAGAGAGAGAGCAAGAAAGAGGGAGGGAGGAAGAGAGAGAGAGTACCGCCCTTCAGTTGTGTTTAAATGTGAAGCGGAAAATCATCTCTGTGGCTCAGGGGAGTGAAGAGACGATTCTAGTGTTAGAAGAGCGGGTTTGCCGTGCTTGAATCATAGCGCTCTCTCTCTTTCGCTCTTTGTTTGTCCTACAGTGTCCCTGATTTCAGCTTCAGGCTTCAAAGTGAGAAGCCAGAAGAACTGAGAGTTTCTACAAGACGACAATACCTGGATGCGGGGATATCTGGACACCTCACAATGGATGGATTGAGGACAAAGTGTTGAGTTCTCCTAAAGCTGTCCGTGAATGATACAGGTACAGTAGTTGTTTCAGCTTTGTTTAGCTCTTTACCAAGTATCAGCATGCAGCTGATGCAATAGAAATGTTCAGAAAACAAATGTATAACATGTTTTTACCTTGATGCAAGGAAAATGGTTGTTTTTTTCTGTGAAAAAGGAGTGCACTGAAAGATCAGCATGAATACCTTTATCTGATCTCGCATCCAGTGATTATTATAGCCTACATTATGAAGTATATGCCGTGAGACTGAATGGCTGGCTCTTTTCATAAGTTCTCCAGACGTTTTTATAGTTTTATAGTCTGACATTTAATTTCAGTGCATGCTATGTGGATAACTGAAGAAAATGTGACTGCCTAGTCATAACTCTAATTTATGAATATGAATAAGCAATTGGAGACTCAAGGATGGAGGCAGACTGTCAGGTGGCTGAGGAAAAGAAACCGATTGGCACTTTCATCTTTAAATGTGGCCTAATAGACACACTAAGAGGCTGAAAGCAAGTCTGTCTACATGCAGATTGGATCTGCGAGATTTTCTCTGCACTGAAAAAAATTTGGTGTAGAATTAATTTCTCACACAGAAATTGCTAGTGCATTTCACAAACAATTACAAAGAAATGGAAAGCAACACTGAATTAAATGTGAAATACTAAAGTATAAAAACTGAAATAGTAATTACCTGTAAAGCATACTCAAATGATAGCTTTATTTACAAATTCCTAATCATTTTTTATAGTGTGAGGAAGTTCTGTCAGACTCGCATAAACGATAATATATCTTTTTTCAGATTTAATTAGAAATACCAGGTTTGAATGGACCTCATGGCATTCAGAGCACTTAAAAAGGAATGAATGGAAGTGAGAGATGAAAAGCGAGTGTGTGAGTTACTGACCTCTCTCTGTGTATCTTCAGAGGAGTGTTGGGATGTCGTGGCTGGTGTGGGTGTGGGTCAGTGTGACAGTTCTGCTGATGTGTGAGGCCACTTTCTATGAGACCATCCAGCAGCACCTGGCCCCACCCGGAACCAACATACAGATCCTCGGTGAGTCCTTCCTTCTCTTCATCTCCTGCCTCATCGTTCACGCTGATATCAGCATGATTTATCAATCTCAATCTGAAAGTCCACACAACCAAAGATTTCATGCATCAAAAAGAACACAAAGAGATTGCAAAAGTATATAAATCGAGCAGTTTAATACAAATCTTCTAAAGGGAAACAATCGCTTTATATGACGAAGAGATTTAATTTAGGCTTTTTTCCCCCATATAAACATTGATTGATGCGCATACATATAGTAGAGCACATTGATGTACCACATCAAATATGGTAAACGGAAGCTCAGACATGCTTGTGTGACATGCAAGAACAAACCTCATTGGTTCTCACAGTTCAAGCAAGCATGTCTGAGTTTCTGTTTACCATATTTGATGTGCTCTATATATGTGCTTTGATCAGTGTTTCTATATGAATAAAAGCCTAAAATGATGACGACAGACAAACTTTCTGTTTTCAATGTCCAATTCCTATAAAGAAATTAAAGGGATAGTTCACCCAAAAATGAAAATTCTGTCATTAATTAATCACCCTCATGTCCTTCCAAACCCATAAGACCTTTGTTCATCTTCGGAACAAAAATTAAGATATTTTTGATTAAATCCGAGAGCTTTCTGACCCTGCATAAACAGCTGTTCTTTGCACACAAAAAGTATTCTCGATTATTCAAAATTATGGTTAAACCACTGATGTCACATGGACTATTTAAATAATGTCCTCACTACCTTTCTGGGCCTTGAACGTGTCAGTTGCGTTGCTGTCTATGAAGAGTCAGAAAGCTCTCGGATTTCATCAAAAATATTGTTTGTGTTCTGAAGATGAACGAAGGTCTTACAGGTTTGGGACGACATGAGGGTGAGTAATTAATGACAGAAGTTTCATTTTGGGGTGAACTATCCCTTTAAGTCTTAATATGTACACTTTCTATACCAATATGAGGTACTAATATGCAAAAGCAAGTAAGGTAAGTACAAAGCTGCACCTTTTGAAAGTACTCCGCCCACAGATTTTGTACCTTTTCTCAGAGAGTGCTGCTGTAAATATGTTATTAATGTAATCTGTGCAATGTCTATTAGAACCACACTTAAGCATGTAACACTATTGGTATTGCCTTATTTAATCGCTGCTCATTTGCACAAAGTTACAATTTCTTGCTGGACATGCCCAAACCAACACTGGTTGTAATCTGAAGAATTTTCATAATGATAATAATTCAACAAAGAATATTTAAAGAAAAATAAACAATAACAATATGAGAGTATATACAGTATTTAGATATTTTACGTGTACAGTAAAATGTAAACAATATAATAATATAATATAATATAATATAATATAATATAATATAATATATAAGCTATTTTTTATATCCTTCAATCCTCTGCCGGCTGCTCCCGCTTCACAACGAGCGGGACTCGCGCTAACCGCAATTCCCTTCACCGTCCGAGTTTTGATTTTGCCAAATAGGTTTGGGCCAATGCAAACAACTTATTGATCATGAGCCCAACAGCCGGTCTAAGGCATGAAACTCCAGGGTTGAAAATGAGTCCCACTCCGGCCCTGCTGGAAACATTTCAGTTCCGTTGCTGTCTATGAGTGGGTCAGAGAGCCCTCTGATTTAATCAAAAATACCTTCATTTGTGTTCCGAAGATGAACGAAGGTCTTACGGGTTTTTAACGACATGAGGGTGAATAATTAATGACAGAATTTTCATTTTTGGGTGAACTATCCCTTTAAGAGAGCAGCTAATCTGAAGAATTTTCATAATGATAATAATTCAACAAAGAATATTTAAAGAAAAATAAACAATAACAATATGAGAGTATATACAGTATTTAGATATTTTACGTGTACAGTAAAATGTAAACAATATAATAATATAATATAATATAATATAATATAATATAATATAATATATAAGCTATTTTTTATATCCTTTTCTATATGACACTTGCAAATGGAAGATGGTGTGGGGGCTTTTTGCTGCTGTTTACTTCCATTGGTTAATCCACCACGGCGGACAATCAAAATTAATTGCAGGTGAAGGTTTTAATCACTGGTTTGTTAGGCAGTGTATTATTAAGTAGTGCACACAACTTCAACAAATCCTTTTCTTAGTTGAATTCCCATTGGTGCAACTCTGATTCAGGAAAGTAGACACACATGGATTTCTAGCACAGTGGTTCTCAACATGGCATTGCTGCAGGACCCAGATTTGGACATTTATCAAGTGGCAACCCAACACAGCAGCAGATTTGTTTTGATGGTTTCAAGCTCTCGGTACCCAGTAATTCACTGCACACAACACATTTTGGTCTGTATTTAATGATGTCGGGTTTGCAGAGGTTTTTTTTATGCTTTTCAAGGAGTCAAGCACTTGACATCAAGGGCATGTCAAGTAACTCTGCCTAATTTGGCTAACTTTTACCATCTGTAAATGGACGATGCATTTGCATTGGAGTCATGCCTTTTAACATCAGCAATTTTTTCTTCCAAGTTCATACATTACTATGCTAATTAAGCACAATTATATGGTTAGATGTATTTTTTATTTCCATCTAACAAATACTTTTTTTTGTTTTTGTTTTTATCCCTATCAGAACATGCAAAACACCAGCTGAGAACTGCTCTCTGACCTCGTGGTTAGCCAAGTTTACAAGCACCTGGGGTGTGAGAGGAATTTTCAATATTTGTTCAGGTTCAAATATACCTACAGGTACACTGCATCCTCAACAATAGTGTATTCAGGTTGTGCTAACACTTTAAATTAGGGAACTAAAAAATAAATAAAAAAACTAGAGTGATGACTACAAATGAAATTTTCTCTCAAATAAACTATAATATGCACATGAAGGAATGATGAATGAATAACAGAGTGAGAGAAGCTGTGCACCCTGTGCCCATCACAGTAAAAAAATTACAGTTTTTCTTCCACACATCGGGTCAAGAGGATATTAGACATTTTTATCAGAATGTAAATCTATTAGAAAATCCTGTTTATCTAATATCTCGGCGGTCTGGGGTAGTTTTAAGGTTCACCTCAATTGAAACAGAGCACAAATGCTTCTTGTAACCTCACACCTTCAAATGCGAGGGCTAAAAGCAATTTGCGACCGTACCACTTACCTTAACTAATCTTGCTAGAGGCACTTTAGTGGGATTGGATCCTGAATTGGAATTGATTTTATTGTACAGACTATAGAACAATTATAGAGGTACATGCTATTCTTGATTCAAAGTAGAAGGTCGGTGGAGTTTTGCCTCTTTGACATCAAATACTTTGACTATTTAGATGTATGATAGAGTAGTGTAGATAGAGCAATGTTAGGAAAGCTAGCCCTGATTAAACAATTGAGCTCCAGCTAAGAGACTTATCAGAGCACAGTAGTATTTCTTAACAATCACATGTTCATCCTAAATGGAGGGCTATATATTGGCTCACCAGTACTGAGCACTCTGGGATTCCACTACCCTAAATCTGAATATCAAAGCAGATAAACAAACTGCACAGATTGGGATTTTATGAGCTTTGGTGACATTGCATAAAATTCACATTTGGTGCTGGATGGAATGAATGGACAGAGATTACGTTTAAGTGTCCATATGTTCTCTCAAAAGATGAACAATACTGAGGCATTTAGATGTTTCTTGACTGCGTATAAAAAGAGGCACTGAATAATTCATATTTAAGTCCCCATTCTGCTCCAAAGAGATTATTTCTCCAAAAGATGTCAATTTATGGTCATATTTTCTGCACTACTTCATTTCCAAAGGAAGGAATTTGAGATATCAATGTTTTCTGAAACTACATCTTCACAGCCATTTACTTTTACCACTTGTCTTATATGAAAAACACAAACAACCGGCACCGATTGTAGTAGCTCCAGGATGCATTTGCATGTTGTAAAAATATCAAGCTCAGCAAACATTCTCTCAAACTGCCAATCATATAAGAAAAAAATGCTTAAAGATCAGCCAAACTGACAACATCTGCTCTGCTTTCAAACCTTGTGTGATTATGTTGACATTTCTGATGTTATGACAAGTGTGATATCTAACTGTAATGCTGTTTCCAGTCAGGGTGAGATTGTGGCTTTGGAGAGGGTGGGAGTGTGTGCATGTGTGTGTTGTGTTACAAAGAGATATTTGTTTAAGTATTGAGTGCTTTGAGGCTGGTAGATTGTCCTGAGTATCAGGGTTGACAGGTCATGAATTGTTGTGGTACCGTTGCTTTCATTAAAACCATCAATGTGACTAGTGACCAAGATCACTGCAGGAAATTGCAAAACGGTATTGTTCACAAACTGATGAATTGAGCTTGCATCCATTGCGAAAATGTTTTTTTTTTTTATACTGCGAATTTTAATTTTGTATTTGAATTTCCCTGGAGGTCAAGGTTTATGAGAGCATATGTTTGATTTATGCAGTATTGACTGTTATGCAGTATAAACTGCACATATTAATGTGCCAAAATAATGTCGCTTGGCAACTGCAAACAGCCTATAGTTAGAAAAATGAACAAAATTGAAGCAATAAGGTTTGAGAAGATGTGCAACATAGCGAATACAGTCATAGATAAAAGGTGCTGGTAGACACAGCATAGATTTTAAAATCAACCACACAATAAAAATATTAAGGACACAATTTTTGATTTAAACATTATTTTAGCAAATTCATTAAGGGAATAATTACACTAGAAGATAGGAATGGACATTATATGGTCACTAGCTTAAGTGAGAGATAATTGATTGGTATCAGACAATATTGGATATATATTGTAACAGTGTTGAATATTTAATTGTTAATTCTTATATTCTGTTTTTTATTATTTTTAGATAAGCTTTGCCCTCATCTAACACTCATGTAAGGTTCACGTATAAAACGTAATAATTGAATTACACTGATAAATGTAATCTTTAGCACATCTCAAAATAATATGCATTTTCATAATGTACATTATAATGTTATGATTTCTAAAGAAACTTGC